ACGCATTTGTCAAAAATTTCACTAGCCTCATGGGCTACTGAAATTTTGTTCACCTCGAACTTGTCAAAAATTTACTTGCCGCGAACTTTGTTACCGATTCACACACGCTCATAAGATGAATTGTATGAAAATGCACAAAGCACGCCACATAGATCGTTGAAGCTGCAGCGCGAATCGAAAACATGGCCAACTCCCATCTTTTTGCGCGCTTTGACAATCAGCCGGTTTAATATTTATTTTGTTTCGTCCAAATTCGAGTTTTCATGTAGAAACCATATATGTAATACTTCTATATTGGCAGTAAGCCAACCTTTCAATGTGTAAGCATTCCGAAATCAAAGCGAGACAGTATAGTACCGTTTTTGTCAATGTATTGTGTACTTGAGTGCCGTTTTTGTATATGTGTTGTGTACATGTTTATTTATAAACGTATGTGTTCCTTTTCTTTCGTACGTGTTTATTGATATAATATAGATATTATCTATACTGTAGTGTTTTCGGACGGTGCTAGCTCTTACTGAGCTTGTCTTGCTGTTTGACAGTTTTACAGGATTTTTCACGAAAAGTATTGGATCAGAGCTAATAGAAGATTGCGCCGATTGCAGCAGAATTCGGGAGAGTAATTTTGGCGGGACGTCACCGTAGAGTTGACAACTGAGAGCGGCAAATAAAACTTCTGTCTAGTGATATGCTGAATTTTCGGTACCCAATACTTAAAAAAGGTTTTGGTACCCAATACTTATTCTTTACATTAAACCTCCGCAATTATAAGCATTTAAAGTTTCGAAAAAAACTTCTATTACTAATTTATATGATATCAGCTAAAACACTTGAACTTATCCCAAACAGAGAAATATTATTATTTTATCAGTTTTAACCCTAGTCGATCCAGGGTTAAGAAAAATACTTTCACGGATGAAGAAGCCTTTGTAACAAAATTAGCGACAAGTTTCGGATCGATATCGCACTTGTTGACGTAAAAATATTTCAAATCATACGTCAACAAAACTGATACCGATTCGAAAATTGTCACTAACTGGTTACAGAATCTGTCGCTAACTGGTTACAGAATCTGCCTACAAAAATGATATCGTCCGATTCAAAATGCTTCAAACAAGTGAGAGTTTCTCTTTATTATGGCCTCAAACCCACATATATACATCTTTCATTTGAATCATTATTAAAAGCTCTATTGGCTCCTACATTCGGGTTTTGATAGACAAGTCTCCCCTGAACCGGGTTTTCCATAACTTTGGCCTATGCGCGCTTTTATTCGAAACCCAAACGTTTCGGTTCCGAGTATCGAGAGTATTGGATACCTAAAAGTATTGACTCAGCACATCACTACTGCTGTCATCTCGACTGTGACGTGAGCAAAACAGCTGATTCTGTCAAATTCACTGAGAGCCGATTAGCGGTATTGCCATCGGCGCCACCTTCTGCATTCTCTCCACCGTAGCATCAGCTTAACACCTTGTATTATAGCATCATGTGTTGTCGTTGTTAATTTCGCGTATCTACTTTTTGTAACTTCTACGTACTCTTCAAAATGTGTGCGGCCAAGGCGAATTTATACAAGGTTGTGTTACTGGCGAATTTAGATTTTCGCCGCAGTACTTCTTAATGTCAAAATCAAGGCGAATTTATACAAGGTGGTGTTAATAGAACCAAAACAAAAATTACAACAATATAAACGCTCCTTGACAATCAGTACAAAGCCAAATTACAACAAACACATGATATTGACAAAAGGTACAAATTCGCCGTGAAATCAGCGGATCCGATAACACCACCTTTTATAGATCCGCCTTGGTCAGAATGATGTGTTTGTTGTAATATGAATTCGCCTTAATTACAACAAACAAATCATTTTGACATTAGGTAGTACGGCGGCGAAAATCATGAAAAAGTATGTGTGTACGAGGAAACATACCTCGAAGCAGCCTTTAAGCAGATTCGGGGCGCTGAGTTTTATAATGCAACGAAGACAAATGGAGTCCAAGATGCCTTCAAGCTAAAAATACCGGACAAGTTCCTTGTTTTTTGTTATTTTCTTCCCCCATTTAAATACTTGGTGTGGCAAGGCACGAGAGCTATCATGATCACGGGCTTCATAAATCAAGAAATTTGTATGAAGGAGTGTATGCAATATCGTTTGCTGTCATTCATAAAGCAACATAAAGGCTCAGTTCTGTTCTGTCCCGATTTAGCATTGTGCCATTACAGCCCCTTTGGCATGAACTGGCATGTCTGTTACAGGGTATATATATTGTTCAAAAGGACCACAACCTACCAAACTGTTCAGAATTGCGACCCGTTTAAAATTAATTAATGAAAGAACATAGATAAAAACGAAAGAAGACATCAAAAATTATCAGAATTTCAAAATTAGTTGGCAGAGAGAAGCAGATACCGTCACAATAACTGATATCCATATCCTAATGAGAGGGATCAAATGTAAAATGCGCATTTTGTTTATAATGAAGATAATTGAAATATTTTTTTTTTTTTGTTTATTATAGTAAGCTTAATAAAGAAGATGATAAAGCAGAATACTCTTTTCGTAGGTTGTGTAATAAATCATTCGTGTCTATTATTTATCTCTGCGTACGATGAGACCTGATGGGAAAAAACTAATTACCGCCTTGGCCTCTTTTTTACTGGGCAGACTTGCATACAATTTTGATATTTTTTGATCGTTTTTAATCTCTAATATTTTTGAGAATATAAATTTTTTGAACGCAGGCGTGTTAAATGAAAGGTTTTGGGTCTTTCTAATTGGCCGGAGCAGAAAGCTTTCTGATACAACTCTGCGCTGAACTGGTTTTCAAACGAGTTAAATGATTTAACTGGTTCAATTTTCCAACAACAATTGCATGCGATTTAACTCTTTTATGAACATGTTTGGTTCATTTAACTGGTTCAAGCCCATTTAACATGTTTAAGAATCCTGTTGATTTTTGGAAATTGTTTCCCTGGCAATGAGTCACATATTAAAAACATGCATAACAAATTTTTTTTAATATCTGATTAAAAAGTTAGAAATATTGAGGAAACTGCAGAATTATTGTAATTTGTGTACAAAGTTTGAAATGTGAATTTAGATGGTGTTCTTGTATAACCGGCGGGAGTTTTATAAAAATAAAAGCTTATAAAAAAAAAACTAATAATAAACATTAAATAAACTGGTCAAAATAACGC